GAATTTATTTTCATCTCTGAAAAATGAGTTTCCTAGAACTCTGAAGGATGGTTTCTGTAATATCTCGCGAACTGCAGTTTATTACGGCGATTAGCCTTACTAATCCAACGCTTCTACTCTCCCGTTGTAACCTGCGTCTCATGGTGCTCTTCGAACGGTTTTTATGGATCCAGTTCTCCTAGTAGTTGAAACAACCCACGGAGTCATTCTAACAACAATTTGGCGTGGATTCTTGTTCATATGATTGACAATATTTATTTTGTCTCGTTTATTGGGTAGTGATTTTTGGCCTCTGCCGCTTTTGTTAATTAATCTGCCTTTGTAATGTATCTATTATACCTTGAAGAGTTGACTGTGTTTTTCCCACTATCTTCGCAATTCCTCGTAGTCATCTTCCTCTCATGGCTAAATCCACACTAAGTCTTTGTTGTTCCACCGTCGTTTCCCTTCTAAGTAACATCTATTTTCAATTGAATGTTGCCCTTTGCAAACTTGACCATTGTCTAATCTGCTTGTCATTATTTTGTGCCTAGAAAAACATTTCAAAGGGTTCTTTTCAAGATCGCTTCAGATGGTCTACATTCACTTCTGCACAACGCTTATTTATAGGTAACAAGAAAATATTTAATTTTACACCTAATAAAACATTTTTCTGTTTTGAAATTTCAATAATTCTTCTAGGAAACCCCTAATATCGAAATTACATCTAAGACAATTTTATCATCTAAATATTTCATATGAGAAGAATTCGGGGTATCAGTAAAGGTGTATATTCAATTGTGAGAGTCATTGTATAATACAACGAAAAATCTTCAACTCATAAGTTACATTACATTAGTTGTGGCAATTAGTAGTAGTTAATTTGGTTGCAATCACGGTAATAAGTTGTTAATACCGTTACGTACATTTCTAACGCAATTGTTACCTTTTTTTAGCAGAGAATTGCCGTAATCAAAAATCTTATCAAACGCTTCATACACATTTCTGTGATCTCTGAGCAAGTTGGTTTTGACGACAGGTCAGACCACCATATTGGTTTCGTGAGCAATCTTGCCTTGAATCATTAACTGTAGTCACTTGCCATTAATATTTATTATCAACGAAAGCCCGCTAGCTAGTCTTTAGATTTTCGATCTAGTTCTTAGTTTACTTGCTTTTGATGTTTCGCTTGGACTTTTTTGTAGCAGAAGTAGACTTCTTCTGTTTAAATGGGAAGGAATCGTAGACATCACATTAATTTATACTCGTGCAGGAATTGCGAATTCTTTTAGTAAATTGATATATTAATCAAATCATTGTAATAGTGGAATGGAAAACATTTTTAGTATTCACATTATTCTGAAGTTACGACCTTGAAATAAACGATGGAACAATTCGTGGCTAATTCTAAGTAATGATATAAAATTATCTAACAAAATCGTTATTTCCTTTAATAAAAGAAAATACGTAAATTAGACAAATCCAGTCATTGCAGATTGGGCCATTATGCAAAGCAGGCACTCTGTTACGTGTGGTCCTTATTAAATTGTCTAATTAAAGCACTCTCGTCCTTGCGCATTTGTTCCCTCAACCGTTACGCATTACGTCCCGTGGCTGGTGGGCGTGATTGCAAGTGAGCGTAATAATTACGTCGCTGGCTGAACCTTTGCAAACGCAAGAATCCACCCGGAACAATTTAAATTTTGGTGAAAGTGTATTACCTTCCTAACAGTGCTCACCATTACAGCTCAAGTTTAACACTGCAATACTCTTTTTGGAAATGTAGTTTACTAATTTTCAATGCGCGAAAATGCTTAAGAAAACTGACTGACTTTCGACATGATAGATATTTCAATGATTTTGTTACAGAGCCAGAAACTCGAGAAAAATCCAAAAACAATGGAACAGTTTAATTTTTGACTGAATACTGAAAATACTTGAGTTTTTCCGCGTATTATTATACTGCACGTACCGACTGATTTATTATCCTTGCTACCTCATTGCTTACACCACCGCGAACGTACGGCAAAAAGACTCCAACGAGGAGGCCGCCCACCATTTTCATATTGCTTCGTGGAACAGCAACGTTTTTACATGATTGGTATATAGCGAAATACTGAACTGTGTATATACTTTACTACATTATTACAGTAATCGCGATGACTGTTTTTGTTAAAATATTTAACTATAGCCGCGTTATACGAGAGTATTTTAGTTTTTATTTACCAGCAGGCCGAGTGCTACTTTTTGTGGATTTTGCAGCATTTTGCTGTTGCAGGTCAGTAGTCTACATAAAAACCTGGGAGAAAATAGTAGCACCTACAAGGCTGCTTGATGTATCTTCGATTCGTTTTTGTTTTTTTACTTATTTAAGGTCACTTTTCAACTAAGATCATATAAAATGGTGGGTAACGGTAACTGAATACGGCCTTTCAGGTCGGCTTGTCGATTCGTTATTATCTCAATAAATCGAAAAATTGTGGAAATTTGAAATATGAATGTGAAGGTCATTGTCAATGTGAATGAATCTGAATGCGAAAATGTGAAAATATGAACGTTTTACTTTTGAATTGAATTGAATTGAATTGAATTAATGCCTTATTTTACGGGGCGAGACTCGGGCTATCAGGCCCGCTCTTCCGTCTGACCGCGCAAATTTCGCTACGCTCCTTTCACCAACTAGCGGAGAAAGAAGGTATTTCTTGGGCGAGAAATAGGCGATTTGAATTTAGCTCAGAGGCGTCATTTAGGCTTGGGGATCTTTTACATGCAAGTACATCTACTAACATTGGACAGCCGGCTTTACTTCCCCTCCGATGGAAGGCGTACGAAGAATTTTTTCGCCCTTAAAAATCCACGGCGTCGATATACGTTGAGATTGAAATGCTTAATAGCACGCTTGTCAATCTATGGTTTGCTTTTCTGTCACTTGACAATGTTGTTTTTATTTGTTCTTTATTCAATACTTCATTATTTCGCGATTCAGTTTATTGTAATTTAGTGGTTGAAGCAGCATAATTTTATCCATTGAGGTTTTGTAGCTTAGGGGTAGATTTTGATGACCTAAAACATTGCCAAAAATGATCAATAAAATGTCCTTCAAATGCTTTTAAAATGCCCTAAAAACAAAGCAACATGGCGTAAAAAAATTGATCAAAACCACTTCAGATGAACAACTCAAAATGTTGGGTAAGTTCCTGATGTAATCGAGGCTTTTTCCTTTTGTTCAAGTGAACTCCGCTTGAAACTTTTGGTTTGGACTGTTCTTTACAGAGAGTATATTCTTTCTTTTCTTTAAAAGAAAATCTCTACTTTTATTTATCGCGAAATCGGCCGAACTGACAATGGCGCCGTCAGGCGACACAGGAACCTTAGACTACTTAGTACTCACAAAGGCTGATATTATAATATATGCGCGAAGAAATCTAGTAGTTTACTCAGGCATTCTGTGGTGAATTTTTGTTACACCTCGTAAATATTGTTTGAAGCAAGTACCATTAAAATTATATTAAAATCGGTGGTATCAGTGCAAAATGCATTAAAAATGACGTAAAAAGGTAAAAATGACTTATTAGGTGAAATATATGAAAAATTCAAAAAATGACGTATAAAAATGGGTCATTTCGTTATGTTATAAGATAAAATGAATTTCTATACTAAACGGCATTTTTTTAAAGTGAAAAGAAAATAATTACATTTCATTAAAATCCGCTCCATCGTTATCGCATATGAGACCAATCTATTACATTGTCCTTCTGATGATTTCACATTCGTAAAACTTACAATCTGTCACTGTATAACATTCAATAAATGATTTGAAATGACAATAAAATTTTCATAGACATGTTTTCATGTTTAATTAGTGATTACAGTAGCGGTTAAGTAGTTCCACGAAGTATTCGAGTTAGTCTGAAAATGTGTTCCCTACTATCAAGTAGGTTGATTTAATGTTCACTCAATTTATTCTGATGCTCTTGGTTTCTTTCTGTGATGACTTCCGCAGTAGATGTTAAGGACAGTTCAAATTGTTTCGTTAGTAACTAATCACTGTTCTGCACTTAACTTTCTTACGGTTTTGGTTTCATATCGTCTATCGATCTCTTAGTATGATTTAGTTGCGGAGCTCCATAATTCTCTACTGTAGGTCTGAACAGGTTTTTTGACAGTTTTGTTTAGTAACCCTTTTTTCTACAGAGAGAGCTGCGACCTCACTGAGAAGCCATGACAGTTTTGGTTCTTTCACTTGTGCTTCTTTTCGTTTCTTTTTTGTACGAGTTTCCGCGTTAAATGGTGTCAAAGTGTAAGCCAAGGTACTTGACAATTGAGATTCATCATTGAGTCTGCACCTCAGTCACTGTCTCAATTTTTCCTATTATATTGATGGAATCTCAAACGTCTACGCCAGTCTATTTAATTTTTGTTCAGTCCCTTTTCTAATGGGACGATATGTGGTGGTGTACAGTCCAGCCTCCCTATCACCTTTTACCGTTTAAACTGCCTACGTCAGTTATCTTTGCATTGTTAACTCCTGAATAATATTTGAGTCTTACTTCAATTTGTTGTGAAGTTTTCAGTCTTAACGTTTTTAGCGTAGTTTTTTGAAATGTTCAACTATGGCTATAGAATGCCCAAATTCAGAACACCTCGACAAGACAGAAGAAAATTCGCAATGTCTTGAAAAAGAAATAGATTGGTATTTTCAAAATTTGGATACCTATGTGATGAACAGGTCAGGTTTGATGTTGTGAAAAATAGAATAGATGGATAGTAATAGAAGAGAAATGGGAAACAAAAATTAAAATCTTACAACATATCAAAACATATTAAAACTTACGACCATTATTATTATTATGTTTCACAGAATCCGTAGGTACCTTCAAAGAGTTGTACCAGTCTAGAATCCAATGTTCCCGGTGTGAAATGTAAAATCAGTAGTGTAAAAATAATTTGTGGGGATCAATTTGGGAAAGTGTTTAGTACTTGATACAATATTGTAAGAATGGTACTTTTTTCTGTTACAGTATACCTTATGGAACTTCCTGCCAAAGAATTTGTTCGAGCAGTTCCGTCGAATTGCCAACTTCTACTTCCTGTGCATGACAATCTTAGCGGTGAGTACTGCCGCTAAAGGCAAACTGCGTGAAGGAGAGAATATTTCCAAGACAAATACAGCCAATGATAATATGGGAACTTCAGTTAGCTTGTGGTATTTTCACAAATTTTAATGGAAATTTGTCACTCTTCTCAAAAATATCAGAGAGGCTTTTCTATACGCGAATGAAAACATTTCTCAGGAAAAGGCGTTTTCAGACTCACAACACGATTTAGGAAATCAAAATCTTCGGAAACTGCCATTTTTTTCTTTTCTTAAAGTTGTTGCTTCACTAATGGACCAAAATGAAGCACCCATTGGAATATTTTTAGATCTTTCGGAATCCTTTGACGTTATTGAGCATAAAACATTGCTATCAAAATTAAGGAATTTGTGGTATCGTCTAACCCTGTTTGCCGAAGACACGAATGTTCTTTGCAAAAAAGAAACAATAAATAGTACGATTTCAAAAGTTTCAAATTGGTTTTGTGATAACAAATTTAGAGTTAACGAAGGAAAAACAGTTGCAATACATTTTTACATTTCAAGTCAGCAATCGCATGTTCGATTGAAAATTAACAATATGCAATTAGATGATGTTAAGGTAACAAAATTTCTAGGTCTCTCAATTCAATCAAAACGCAAATGGAATGTACATATACCAGAATTAAACATAAAAGTAAGTTTATTATGTTACGCATTAAGAATTCTTTCAAATTCTGCCAGCCTTCATGCAGTTCGTTACGTGTATTTTGAAAATGTGCATTCCCTCCTGAGACATGACATAATATTTTGGGGAAATTCATTATGTAGGACCAAGACCTTAGATTGCAAAAGAAAATTATTGGAATAATAATAATAATAATAATAATAATAATAATAATAATAATAATAATAATAAACTACCATCCTTGTGAACCTGCAAGCCTCTCTTCATTGAGCTTGGAATCTTGCTACTGCCTTTCCTAACAGCTCACTACTATAAATCTCCATGTACCTTACTTTATAACTCATTGCCAGTTGACATTAAACAATTGAAATCGGTACACAAATTTAAGTTAAAAGTAAAATCTTTTCTGTTGCGTAACCGTTTCTATTCAATTAGATACTATATTGATCATCGAAAGGAAAAATAATGTTTATTTTAACAGAACAGTGATATATTGAATTAGTTTACATTTGTATTGTATATTTTTTTAGAAGACTTAATGTGCTTATGACAAATAATGTACTTCATCTTTAGGGTCAATGACTCCCATCTAGAAGAGGTTTTGTCATTTCTCCCTGATACATTGAGCAAATGCTGAGATGGCCTCTTGTTTTGCTTCTGGACGTAAATGTAGCTTCACTATGCGCACGTTTTGTTGAACTCTCCTTTTGCTTGTAGCGGTAGGAATACAGGTAAGGGTGAATTACTATTTTGTTAGCAATGCAGAAAAATTAAACCTGTAGTTCCTTTAACGTTACAAATAAGTTTTCTATAAGTTGGGAACGAAAATGTATAGTTTTTCAAATGTTGCTAATCTCGCGCTTTTGTAAACATTATTTTTTATTTATCTTTAACTTATACTCATCCTCCAACTTTTTAAGATTAAAATGATGAAAAGGGATTCTGGAACTCAAAATAAACTCAAATATTTTTATTTGAGAACAATTTGCAAATGCAAATTGAATAAAAAATGCGTCAATTAATTGTATTATCCGAATAAAATTAAAATTAACTCAAATATTTGTATTTATTTATCCTTAACTTTTACTCATCCTTGAACTATTTATAGTTAAAATGAATGGAAGGCAATCTGGAACTCAAGAAAACGTGCGCAGATGATCTTCTCCCCCATACGCCACATGCAGTTTTTACTGTTGTTTGACTGAATAAATCCAAATAAATAAATCTAAACATCACGTGGACAGGCGCGTTGTAGTCAAATATAAATAACAGCTCGAAGACAGCGAGCCATAACTAATCATACGAGAGATGCATGATGGATGAACCTGTGTAAGACGATCGAAACACCTCTATTAATTCATGTTAAAGCTGCTTTCTAGGGTGTTGCCTTACCTGTCCAGATCGTTTGATGAAAGAGCAGTCTTATCATCGAATTTGGTAACAAAACGTAACTCGTGAACTTCATATCTTCTTATCTGATTTTCCTGATATAGAAAGAGTTGAGGAAATATGTCAGTTGTAATCTACATTTTTAAGTGAATCTTTGATTAAAAAATAACATATGCATAAATGAATTTTTCTACTGTTCTGTAAACAGAACAATTTGCAAATAAAACATGAATAAAATGCTTGTATTAATTTTATCATCCGAATAAATTAAAATGAAATGAAATATATACAGAGGAAAAAATTGAAACATGACTGAATCCATATAATGAGGAAAGTTTAATGTCATATTTCGAATATTATTAATCAAAAGTCTTTTTCGGTATAAATATTCCATTCTTTTTAAAGAAAAAGACAAATTCTGACTAAAAATACTCAAAAGTTCCATAATTTAGAAATGATATCTCTGTGATTTATTAGATATGTGAACGGATTATATCAACTTGACACAAACGCATGTTGACACATACGTGAAATGCACTCTGTATTTGTACATTATATAGTTAAATACGTACAAGTGCAATTGTAGAAAAAATTTCCTACCTATCTACATGTACCGTAAATGGAGTAAAGATTGACGTTGCTTAATGGTAGTTTATTAGCGGATTGGATATCTTAAAAAAATTCAATTCAATTTTTTTTGTCGAGGAAAAAAATTATCTCCAAACCCCCATCACTGTCATTTCTTCCATATTAATTCAAATTCAAAATTCTCCAAACCTCACATTCTATTGTAGGATCTCCCTACCCAACGGCCTTCTCGTTTCCCCCACCAGTATTCAGTACTAGATCTGTACTATCTACATGTTTATATGCACTTATATTAGTTAAATAATGGTCACCCACAGATTTTTATTACTCTTCCTTACAATAGAATTTAATTTTCTTTCAAGTTATCAATGGACAAGACTCGCATAAACTATAATGTAAGGAATTTGATTCCATAATATATTTGTTTAATACTATCATGAGACTCACTAAAATATTTGTTTAATAACCGAAATTTTCAATCGTGTAAAGACGACTGGATATTGAGATACCGCAAATGAAACGTGTAGGTAATCAGACACTAATACTCTAATGTGATGAATTATTATGCTTATTTTATTTCTGTATTGTTGTGTTAAGGCATATTTAGCTACTCCCGTGTCTCTTTATCTCTTTGGACTACGTACACTGACACACACGCCATTATTTGCTTTTGGGCAGCACTTGCTTTCGGGCAGTCTTTGACCGCAGTACCCAAAAGTCAAGGGGACCAATCAAGCATGCAACCTACAACCATTCGACATAAGAGTGCGTATGGGTCATGCCTACAAACAGCTCCATGTATATAATGTATTACGACTTTATTATTTTACTTAAAATCTACTAGTAGGTTCCACAGAAAGGTGAAATTGCATTGTAGAGGAGCATTTTTATTCGTTATCGTTTCATTTGTAATTATTGCTCATTTCGCAAGCAATCTTTGTTCGCTCTGCTCCCTACACCTGATCTCACGACACAGGGGCGTTGCCCTTTCCCGTCGATGGTTTGCCGGTGCGACGCATCGCGGTTCGCTGCGGGCAGCGTCGGTATCTTATCTGCGCGGTCACTTCGCAAGTCGCCCAGATGGGCGGCGGGGTTGTCGGGGCGGTGTGGGCGGCGGGGATCAGAGGGACGGCGGAAGGCGGGGCAACCGCCACCAGTGCACGGGCGTCCCACAGTCCCGTCTTCCTTCCCGCGGAACGGGCTGTCATCACAGACCGGGTGGAACGATACGCGCGCCGGGCGCGGACGCGGGCGGCGCGGCACGGCGCAGCGGGCCCCGCGAGAGCAGGACCCGGCGGCGAGCGCCCATCTCTCCGCGACGGACTTCCGGGCCAAGCTACTGACAGCACCGCACCGCTCGCCCAATGCGAAAAAAGGCAAACGCGGCCTGGCTTCCCAAACCATCAAACGAGGCATGGGCCTGGGCGCAGCGATCGCTCTGCGCTCCTTCATCCGATTTCTCTCGCCCCCAGCCGATCGTGTTTCTCCCGAATCCCACGCTCTAACCCCCCCTCCCCAACCCCCCTCCACGAACCGGCTCTTGCCTGGCCTGCCTCGCCCTTCACCACTCGATTCACTTCCGCCGCTTGCCAAACACCCTCTCCCGGCCGTCGGGCGTCTACACCTTTAAATCGCCTGGTCCGTGCTGCCGCGGAAGTCGATCGAGGCGGCAAGCCACCGGATGCGGCCTCCGCTTAACCCTGTTTCGGTCGGCCAGAGCGATTCCACTCAGTACGGACCTCCTTCACCGAGCCGAGGTGCCCCCGTTGAGGCCAGCTGCGCGACCTACAAAGGTGCGCTGGCCTGCCGCCTTGATTTGCTGTCGCGCGAGTGTCTGTCAGCCGTCTCCCCGCCCCATTAATCCCTTCACCATCCTTCAGCCGTTCCACCGCGCGCGAACCTGTTTATGTTTGCCGATTTTCATCCGCCAACGCATCAGCTTCCGCCTTGGCCACCGCCCTTCCTAGCGTCACACGCTTCTTCCACCCCACTTTTACACGCCTTAACACCCGCTCACAACCGTTTCCTGCTCATTCCGAGGTCTGTAAGTCGCTCCTCATCTCCCTATTCCTTAGGATGTTTCTTCCTAGCATCCCCTTCTGTACGACTCTTCATCGTTCATTCATCCTCGAACATTCTACCGTTCTAAGTGGTCCTCGGACCCAGACAATATTCCTAGCTTCATCTAAAAAAATAACCAAAACTCTCAATCCCACCCACGCACACCACACCTAGACCATGAACCTTTACTGCTGTTTATTTTAACTCCCTCATGTCTTAATTTACAGCACTTCAACTTCTTTTCCAGGCTCCGCTCCGAACCTGGTCAAAGTATTACACGCCCCGGTCCATCTGCTACATCCTACTGCCGC